TCTTCCTTAGATCTAATAGAAATCTCCCCTCTTTCAGTTTAAAGCCATTGCTCCGTGTCCTATCACTACACATCCTTGTCCAAAGTCCCTCTCCAGCTTTCCTGTAGCCCCTTTAGGTACTGGAAGGTGCTGGAAGGTCTCCCCGGAGCCTTCTCTTCTCCAGGCTGAACAGCCCCAACTCTCTCAGCCTGTCTCCATAGCAGAGGTGCTCCAGCCCTCGCATCATCTTCGTGGCCCTTTGAGATGTGGGTAAGGGCTTTTTTCAGATGGGCTGTTCCAGACCTTTACCTGGGTGGTGCGTGTGAACTCCCAGAGCTGCTTCCTGACCTCTGCCCAGCCCTCCTCATCCAGCTGCCTAGGAGAGAAAAGGAGATTTTAGTCATGCCCAGACGGTCAAATCCAGCCCATCCACAGGTCACCCAGCTCTGTACAGGGGCTGGACACAACTCGTGTCCATCAGACCGTAAACCCCAGTGCCCTGAACTTCTTCAGGGCATGTGGTGCCATCCCCGTGCCTGGGCACGAGAGTCACAACCCTTCTGCCAACCTGGGATTCCCCGCTGTGCCCGGCTGGGTTTGTTCCAAGTTCCCATCAACACTCATACATCAGAGGACTCCGTGCAGAAAGAGTCCTTAACCTGACACTGAAGTCTTGAATTGGATGGAAAACAGAGAGCGAGCGATGCCAAACGCTGGCGCTTTTCATGTTTCGAAGCACAAACTCGCCCGTTCTGGTCGCCGAGCACGATAGGTGAGCTGTCTGCGCAGCCCAGCCGTGGGAAAGTTCTTCCTATTCTATCCCAGCCTGAATAAGCAAAATACAGGTCACATCTGACGCTGGGGGAATTTGGGTTGTATGCAGGGAGGAATGCATTGTGCTCGAGAGCGGCTCCGCTGCGACTGCCTCTGGTGGCTGGAGCCTCCGAGCCCAGGCACGCGGGAAATCGCCGCGGAGATTTCATGGGAGCAGAAGGGAAGAGAACAATGAACAGTGAAGCCACACAGCTGATAAAGCCGAGAAGCAGCGGGAGTTGTGGCTGAAGCGCCGCGGTCACGCCAGGCTTCGTGGCTCTAGCGAGAGGAACAAGGTCATGGCACGGCTCAAGCCATCGGCACACAGAAAACAAGTATTTGGAGTGTGCAGAGTTGCTCGACAGCTGAAAAAAACCAACCTAAAACAAGATGCATGCCAAAAATTCAGGTTCTGGTCTTTCTGTGTCTTGCTCCTCTGGCGAGTCTGCCAAAATTAAGGCATCTGTTTAAGGACTGCTACTGCTTTTTGGTGTGGAAAACATGGCAGAGCCTGGGTAAGGCTCAAGTTTTGATCCCAGATGCTCCTCGGAGTCCGGCGGCTCAGGCACTGACCGGCAACTCAGTGCTGGCATCGAGTTCATGAAATACCCGACGTGTTTTCTAAGCTACCACATTTTAAAAGGCTGAAAAATCCCAGCTCTCTTTTCTCCTACACTTTGTGCCACCTCTCCACAGCTATAGCTGATAGAGTTTCAACAGAATAATGGAACAGGGGGTAGAGACCCCTCAAAAATGAGCAAATAAAGGGCATGTTGGGAAGCCAGGGAGGTACTGGGACAGGGTCACCTAAAGTTTCCAGCACTAGGAGGGAGGAGAAACAAGACCATCCCAAACTGGTGGTGTTTTCCTTGCCTTTCTCAGGTTGTGATCCACCAAAGCACGTGGGCGCATGCTACATTTCAGCTTCTTAAAGAGATCAGCGAGACTAAAACATGATTAAATCAAACATGTGCTTAAGAGCTTTCTTGGATCCGGGCCCAAGTGACCAACTCGTTTCACCGCAGGAAACGCCGCACTGAGATGACAGCTGGCTTTTCTTCTCCGATGAGTCCCTATCAGCTCACTTTCTCCCGAGTTATTACTGTCTCCAAGTAAAGCAGAAAAGACTCCTCAATCCACCCACGGCAAGGACAATTCATAATTAGGAATATCCCGCGAAACGAACAGCACTTACTGCTCA